GCTCGAAAAAGCACCAGGAATAAATTGCTAAAAAGTTTCCATCGTTAATAGTTCAGACTCTGTTCTAGTGACAGCGGTGGTTATCTTCTCAACCTAGCTGGAAACAACCCACCTGTTGCGAGGGGGTCCCACAGCACCTAGAATTGAGGACGAGGACATAGAGGTACTATGTGCAGTGGTGAAGGACAGTCCCTGCATACACGAAGTTGACTTGAGATACAACAATCTCACTGACAAGTCCGCCCAACATATCGCCACAATGCTCAAGGTAAAAATAACCCAAGAAAACGATTGCTAGTATGTTCGTATATTGCTAGTATGTTCGTATATATGACTAATGGTCCTTTTTAGATATTATTATCATGAAAGGTTTTACAGATTTATGGTAAAAGTATGACACTTAAGTCTGAAAGACCAAAGCAAAATGAGCTCACTAATGAAGCAAAACTGCTCTTGTCCGAGCAAGGCCCTGAAGGCTTCCCAAGTCCTTTAAGGTGACTAAAGAAAATGTATGATTTCTTTTTCAAACCTTCCCACAGGCGCAAAATTAGGTAAAAAATTATTTATTTTGCATCTAATAGCAAATTATACCAATTAAATAGCTGCCTCAATTGTAGTTTGAATGATTTCTGAGCTGGGCTACTTTGCCAGCACTTTCACCACGCGCCGAATTTTTTTCCCGAATTGATTGTTACAAGGTGGCAAATTTCAATCCAGCATGTTTATTACGAAAAATTGTAGCAGGTGAAAAACTCTAAGCTCTATAATGGGATTCGTTTTAAGCTCTATATTAAAAAAATATCCGTCAAAAATTGTGAACTAAAAAGACCAAATTTGCGTGGAGAAAAATCCACAGTGCACAAATTTTACTTTGAAAGTTGAAGTGGGTACAAGTGTGATAGAGGGGTCCCGTTAAAACCCAAATGTGAGAAAGGGGTCCCAAATTACCTTAATTTTAGGCAAATAAGGCAAATAACTAATTCCAAAAGAACCGTCAGTCGTTTTAAAACTTTTTCTCAAACGTAAACAACTTTCCTCATTCGCGCAACTTATTCGATTCGTTAATTTACATCATCAAAGCACTTAATGGAACAACTTTGAGGCACTCTGTTTGCATTAGGGACCCGGTTAGTTTCTTGGGACCCCTCTATCACACTTGTACCTTGAAGTCAGAATTATAGACAAAAAGGAGTTCACAAGCTTATCACCCCGCGTTTTTAACCCCCTTTTTCTTAACTCCCTCTCATATAACGCCAATAAAAAACACCACTACAATTGAACCCATTTTTAAAACCAAATGTTAGAACCAAAAAGAAATTCAATTGAAAGGAAATCGGAACCATAGCGTCGAAAAACATAAAAGCTTTAATTGAGAAAGCTTTTGAAAAACAAAACGAAATAACATGCAAGCGCTAAATATGGTTTGGATTTGAACAGAATTGACCTTGCCGATAGTCTAGACTTTGATATGAGCTTGAAAACGAATCCCATTGGCATGATTCAAAATGTTCGCAAAAAATAAGAAAATTTCTCCAAAAATGAACTGATCTTGAATTATTTCTGGCTGATAATAGACTTATTGGGTGAAATTAACTTAAATATGACATGAAAACTGGATGTGACCAAATTTTTGATCAATCTAATGAAAGCTGTTTTCAAATTCCGATCTTATTAAATTTAAGATTGAAGTAAAACTTATTGGAATTTTTGAACCATCTGATTTTGTCAATTTATTTTGACTCGGCATACAACGCAAGTTGTAACAGGTTTGCCAGACCCTAATCCGAACCTAGCGTTCCACCAAAGGAGCTGTCGTCGGGATAAAACTGCTACAGACAGCATTATCAATTGCGAATCAAGGCAATGCAATGTTTTAAGTCTCTGGGTTGCTGCAAGTAGACATTTTTTCTCAAAAAAATGATGAAAAACTTTTTAATTTTAAAATATATACAGAAATTAATTGAAAAAAGTTTAGGTTAAGGTTATTCCATAGCGCAATCGAAATGCAAACAAATTTTTCTCGTCGTAAGCCTGCAATTAACTCTGCACTTTTTGGTTTGGGACTCGGTACATTTTCTTTCTGTAATTTGCTGCCCGCTCGAGGTGTTAAAGAAATTAAGTTTTTAAAGGGAGACGTTTTTCTGCAAGTTGGCAAATTTCAATCCAGCATATTTATTACAAAAAATTGTAGCAGGTGAAAAACTCTGCTACTTTAAGCTCTATATTAAAAAAATATTCGTCAAAAATTGTGAACTAAAAAGCCCAAATGCGTTGTTTTAGGTCTCTGGGTTGCTGCAAGTAGACATTTTTTCTCAAAAAAATGACAAAAATTTTTTTTATTCTAAAATATATACAGAAATTAATTGAAAAAAGTTTAGGTTAAGGTTATTCCATAGCGCAACCGAAAGGCAAACAAGTTTTTCTCGTCGTAAGCCTGCAACTTACTCTGCACTTTTTGATTTGGGACTAGATACATTTCCTTTTTGTAATTTTCTGCCAGCTCGAGGTGTTAAAGAAATTAAGTTTTTAAAGGGAGACGTTTTTCTGCAAGTTTGCGATTTTGTTTTCAAGTGCTGGGGTGTGAATCACTGAAACTCGATCGTATATTATAATGCCAGCCCTCTAAAGCATTTGTTGTTCTGGCCAAACCGGATGTTGCCGCATCTCTTTGATTCCATAGTGAAGGAGGTAAAAGGACTTTTCAATTCAGGACGAGACTTCTTATGAATTTACGTCCAAAATAAAGGCAAAGCTTCTCAACTTCTAATATTTTTTCCATTTTTTTATGGTGCGATTGTATACTATTTGATTTCATTCGACTTTTTTTCTGTTCGAGTTTTCTCTTTTTTTTTTTTTGAAAGGAAGTGAGGGTAACATTCTAACTGTAAGAGTAACGTTTTCTAATCATTTCGGCAACTTTTCTCAAAAATTTTGAAAAAGTTGAAAAAATATTTAGACAGATTGGACTTCGTAAATTTTTGCGAAACGCTTGAGCAGCAGCCTGGTCAAAATCCAGCAAAATCTTCTCAGGTCTAGTGTCCGGCTTTAATTTCTTTAGGGTTTCCAAGATTCGGTGGTATTTTTCCGCTTTATTTGACAAGAAGGCATAAATGCATGCGGGGGCTATTCCCGAAAGAGTAACATCTATAGATTGAACTTGATAAAAAATATTTAAGAGTAACTTTGAAAATTCCGTCAGACAACCAAGAGTTGATACTTCGAGCACACGTAACATTTCCAGTTCGCCGAATAAAACAATTTTTTCGTTATTTTTTTGCCCATTGTCAAATCTTATAAAATTTTCCAATAGCTTGGGTATTTCGGAACTTCTGGTTGCTGAAAAGAGTGTTAAAAAATGTTCCCGTTGTTTGCGCATGCGCTGTGCAATTCAAACTAAATTTTATTTAGCTGGTATGGCTAATTGAGTTGTAATTTTGTCTGTTATGGGCTCAACTGCTGTGGCGACTGCAATGGTCGGGGTATTCTCCTCGCTCAGATCCTGGAGGTATGTAATGATTATGCTCACCCCTTGTTTCGATAAATTTTCGCCCTCAGTAATTGCTGTTGCTCCTTTTTTATGAGGTTGGTATTTTCTGTGGTGAGCGGTTCCATTTTGCAGTGGTCGTGTTTTTAGGTTTAAGATAATACTCCTGGCCTGATACCAGTAATATCTGTTTTATCTTTGAGAAATAAAATAAAATGGACGGTCATTCAAACATTATAGCTCATAGAAGGAAAAAACAAGCGTTCTAGTGTAAAGCAACATTTTTTATTTTAAAATGATAAAAGTCTTTTGTTACCTTCAATTAGCACCATGAAGGTCATCTCTGATTTAAACGCGTAATTGAGGGATTATTTCACTGCCTACTTGAAATGCAATTATTTTTGAGATGTGAGAGGCATCAAGTGAATTAAGAATGGCTTCCCAGGCCTTAATAAGTACACTCAATTGAAATACTACAGTAGTTGTAGAAGGACTTATTTTGAAACGAGTTATCAAATTATCGGTAATAAAAGGGTTTAAATTGTAATGGTAATGGTTTGTTGCAAAAAAATATTGTCAGCCCAAACTTGAGTTTGATTTGTGTTTTGTTTTTTCGTGTGCGCCCAGGGAATAAAATTTTATTAAGAGGAATCAAACAATCGCTTTGTTATTAGCAAAAAAATGGCTATTCTTGCTTTAATAGAATGAATTTTTACTCGCAACTGAAAAGTCTTTAAAATCACATTTGACTCGATATCATCTGACAATTATTTGCGGTTAGCGCCAAACAGACATATTGGCTCGAAATTCACTTTCAGAAAAAATTTATGGTTTCACTTTGGGCGGAGAGAGTGGCGACTCTCTGAAGGAAGACTTTCCTTCTGCCCTCCCTCTTAACTTTTAAATCCGCTACTGCCTAAATGCACGAGCGGTCCTCGTTTAGAAGAAAGGCCAGAAAGTTTTTGTTGAGTCACTTGCAAAAAAATTGTTTAGAAGAGTAATCCTGTTAAACAGGTTGAAATCCATTTGAAGAAATTCAAATGGAAGAAAACAAAAAAAAACTTGAAAGATTTATTATATATACGACTAAATTTTCTCCAAACTGTGAAATTATAAAAAATATCAAATCACTGGCGAGTTGAAAAAAGAGCAAAAATGGTATACTATTTTTAAAAAAGGTATAAAATCATTCGCCCTTAGTTACCTATTATTTATTTTGCTAGGCTGACAATTTCACTTATATACGACGATGAGTTTTGGGGACCTCTGAGCGAGATTTGAAACGGGGCATTATCTCTAAACGAGTACCACCGCAAGAGCTACTCGGATTAAATTTTCTTCTGGCTTTCAATTTTATGATTTTGATTTCTTCACTAACAATTTTTTGCGAGCTCATTTAAATTATAATCTTCAACAATTATTAGTTCTTTTTTCTAGATGTTGAGATGGCGGCTAACTGTGACCTATAAAAGTGTAAAAAACCAAAGTAGCTGTCAGTCTGTTTTAGGAGTGTGACAGTCTTGTAGCTCTCAATCTGATGTCCAATTTCTTCACCAAAGAGGCAGCCCGACTCATTGCAGAAAGTCTTCACGTGAGTTAGATCAAGTAAAAGGCCGCAAAGGGTTTTCTAGATCGGGTTTCCAAGATCTCTTATTAAGTAGTCTTCGCAGCCCTTTTTCTGGCTCGAGCAATTTATTTTTCGAGCTCTCGTGAAACACAAAACCTTATTCCGGCTAATTTAAATAGTTTTTTTTATCGTAACCCACTTTTTGCACATTTTTTGTAGGTTTTGCTCAAAAAAAGACTTTGACTATGGCGTTTTACGACGGCAAAAAAAGTTTTAAAAAAATATTGTGCATCTCAAATACAGATCACTAAATTTGATTTTGTATTGAATTTTTCTAATCACTACTAAGCTAGACTAGACAAAAAATCAGCATATTATGAATCAGCAGTTGATGGTCAAAACAGCATATTATAAATTTACTTGGTATTTTTTCAGTACAATCAGTATATTTTTGGATCTCATATTTCTGGAGTGTTTCTCCGACGTTGAAATCCAAATTCAATGGTCGCTTGTACATATTTACGCAAAAAAAACAACTGGAATTTCTAAAGCAAGCGTGAATATTTATTCCACACACCTAAAAAAACAACTGGAAATTTTAAATGAAACGTGAATAACTAAGTGTTTCACTTTTAGGACAACGGTATCCTCAAGATGCTGAAAATGAATGGGAACAAGATAGGTAATGAGGGCGGCATGAGTTTCGCCGCCATGCTCCAGATCAACGCCGGCCTTGAAATTCTGGACTTGAACGACTGCGATTTGGTAACTTTTTTTAAATAATGTTGTCGCCAATTTATATCATTAATGAAAAACAGCATCAGCATCAGTAACAGACTTCGCTCTTTTGCCATGGGTAACAATTCGCAAGGATTTAGAATCAATTCTGAATTCAAGAGGGGCGGATCTTGGGTTTTCACGGGGAACGGAGTTTCAAAAAAGAAAAAGTATACAAAAATTTGTAGGTGTTTTAAGGTTGACCAAATTGTCTTTTCGAGCTAAGCTCTCATGAAAGATCAAAAACACCCTAAACACCCTGGTTCGACCAAAATTTCTGCGTGGCATTCATTTTTTTTGAAAAAAAAATGAGTCAAAAGCGTTGAATTCTGATTTTATTGGAAGTCGTTTTGCTCTAGGAGACCATAAAAGACTATAAATACTCCCAGTTGACTTTTAAAACGTAGGAGATCTCTTGTGTTGCTATGATATCTACGAATTTCAGGGAATGGAAAGTGTGCTGGCTCTAGCAACTGTACTCCGGCAGAACAAGTTCATCACCAGTCTGGACGTCGGCAGACCCCTTCTCTTCAGTGTGCAAGAAGAAACTACAGTTCACATGGGGTTGATGCTGCGTGTGAATACAGTTCTGAAGGAGTTGCATCTTACCAAATATGGAATGGGGGACTTCGGAGCAGAGAGGTTGGCCGAGGGTCTCTATGATAACAACACTCTCAAGTACCTCGATTTGTCAAAGTGAGTTGCTGGGAAAATTTATTCAACTGAAGCCCCGCCTCTAACTAAAACTAGTTATAATGATCCATCCAACAATTTAATTATACTCGTGTAAATTTCTGGATGCTAACATGCTGAAAATTCTACCATAGAACCAAAGCTAAAATCATCTTCTCTAAACCTCTTGAAATCCGAATTTTTAAGCGATACTTGCTTAGCGTGGAAGTTTCTTGATTCTGACGGCTGAAAGTTCTAAAACAGAACCAACTTAAAACATTCGCTCATCTAAACCGATTGAAATCCGGATTTTTTGTTGCTGATTGAGCGGATTTTGATTGAAGTCGCTTTTACTCTAGAGGAACAAAAAATTTTGCAGACTCTTTTTGAGTAACATGATCATCATAACTCAAAAAAACTTGTTGAATGATTCCATTAAGGCTAACTACATCTGCCTGCCAGGCTCATCGTCTTATAGGATCTTGCAAGATGCCAAAATAACATTACTAGAAAAACTTCACTATAATTTAACAATGGATCTTTTGCAATAAAACAATCATCGGAAACTGACAGGGTTTAAGTGTTGATACTCTCATCCTAATTTAAAAAATTAGATAACACTTAGGCTCTTTAATTGACATTCTCTACTTACTAACAAAGGATGGAAGTAGTTAAAAAGATCAATGCTTATAACTTTTCGCTTAGTAACCGGATCACTCGCGACGGGACTGCTTTTCTGGGCAAACTACTGGAGCGGAACCAGACTCTGGAGGTGTTGCAGCTGGACCAAAACAGACTGGAGTGTCAGGGCGCCATGACAATTGCACACTCATTGATGAAAAACTTCTCTCTCGTGTCGTGAGTTCAAAAAATTTTTTTTGCACTGAGAGACTTCCTAATTAACATACTAGCTATACAATTAACATGCCAGCTTTTGAACCGGTCAAAAATTTGTGGTGATTTAATCAATAGAATTAGTGATTTGTGATTTTTTTAAAAATTAAATATCAAACTAAATATTATTGTTCAAATTAGTAGAAAATTGTTTTCGACGTCTCAGATTTGGGTTAATTAACTTAGTTATGATTTGTCGACCGATAAACTTTTTGTTAAAATATCGGTATTAACTAGATTTTAGAACGAGGAAGAAGATTTTCCTATTTATGCCAGACACAAGAAGGGAGTTTAACACATAGTAGGAATTTGGGATCAAGTTAACAACATCCTACCGGACAAAAAGATCGATGGGAGTCAAACAATCCATTGACAAGGCACTCATTTTAGCTTGACATTTTTTTCTGTTTTCACTTGACGTAATTTTTGCCATGTACAGCTTGTCGGTGAAGAGGAACCAGATCAAAGGGCCTGGACTGTGTGAGATAGCTGAGTGCATGGAGGTCAATCGGACCCTGGAGAAACTGTACGTGTGGGGAAACGTCTTCGAACAGGACGCATGCAAGGTATACGCCCCCTCCCTCTCTCCGTGGATATTCCATATCTAACCCCATATCCTCTAAGGCATAGCCATTTGGTTGCTGGATGCATTGCTAATTCAATTTATTTAGAACTAATTTTCTTTTTATTATGGTAAATTACTCTGCGACGAATTGTCGCTACTCAAAATGCTACCAATCGTCGCCTGTGACCAAGTTGCGCGTGCAATGAATTGTCGACTCACGTGTCTATTCGATGACAATTTATCTAAACAATCAAAAACAATTTTGCATATTGAAATGCCACGCTACAGATTGACATCTTTTCGGTATTTTCCAGAGCCGATCCTTAACCCTCAAGTATTTTGATTTTCAAGAGACGCCCCCCATCTTTCAGGGGTTCGACCAGCTGGCGACTCAAAGGTCCCATCTTTTTAAGACACATCCATTTTTGACTGACATACAGGCGCGGATTTAGGATTTTCTCGAGGGGGGTCGGATTTTCAAAAATAATTTGAAACTTTTGTCGACCTTTTTTTAGGTCGACCAAATTGATTTTCTGAGTTCTCCCAAATCACTATAAAGACTACATTTTGACCAAATTTTCTGCACCGCAGGCAAATTTTTCAAAAAACAGGCCAAGAAAGGCGTTTTTAGGCACTTTTTGGAAAATATTGACCAAAAAATCGCATACTAATGTATACTAATTTTGACCAAAAATGTATACTAATTTTTCGGGGAGGAGCGCGCGCCGAAAAACATAATTTACAAGCATTTGGCTTGAGATAATAGTCTTATTTTCTTTATTGTAGGCCATCAAATCCCTTCTGGACCGAATGAGACTACAAAAAGAGAACACAGACGTTGTGTACTTCGAGGCAGACGGCAAGATCTCGTTGAGTGAACAGAGTCATGGAACCAGGACATACTACTACTACACGCCACTCTATGGACCCGAATCTAAAATAAACACTATGTCACTCCTACACAATGACTACTCAAGCCCTGTTGTCATAGCAACCTAAAAATTAGATTCATCTCTATAGATCGCTCCAAAAATTGCATGTTAAATGTCCATGAGAATTTTTTGCAACCGATAGCCTCAATTTTTGTTGGAAACACTTTGAAATTTTCTCTGATCACATTGACTTAACTTGAATGCTTCTACAATTTCATTGAAAGCAGTTGAGAATTGAGTGATTGCAACTAATTCTTTTTTTTATCATTATAAAGATATCAAAAAACTCTGAGCAGAATCCATAGCACCCTGTTTTTTTATAAGCATGGAAATTTTCAACATCACCCAAAGAGTTAAGTAAACACGTTTTAAGATACAATGGCCAAAGTATTCAGTTTTTGAACACATCGCTGACATATTCAGTCTTCACAAGCAATGAATATTTGGTTAATCTATGAGCATCTATCCCTAAAAATTGGCAAATTTGTGCTAACTGACTGTTTGAAAGTTTAAAACTTGAGCAAGAAAGACGCCAAAAAAACGTTTTGTAAAATTATTGTAGAAATTAAAAAACTTGCTTCTACAGTTTTGCTCATTTTTCCGACCTAGAAAGAAATAACATTCTAAAAATTGTTTGCCTGCAACCGTTTTTTGTAAAAATATGTCCGTTGGAAGTTTGACAATATGGGCAATTTGCAATTTTGAACCCGCAATAGACTTGGTGTGATTGTATAATTGTATAATTAAGGTGTGCAAATTGCAATTTCATCTGCTACAGTTTGTTAGACTTAAGAGTCAGCGTCGTGAGAGCGAATGCTTTTTTCTGGCTGATTGTAAGAAAGTTACTAGCTTTATTTGGTCTTATGATTTATGATTTACTGTAAAAAAAATTGAAGAGGCAAATTTATTATTAGGCTTTCTATTCAGCTGGAATTCCAATATGTTTATTATGAAGGATTATGATTATAGAATAAAATTTATTATTGCTATTTCAATCTAGAATACAAAGTTTTAGTTGGTGTAGTTTTTTTTCTTCTATTCAATTCAAACATTGTAATCTAACTTGTACTTTAGACTCTTAACTATCTTTTCAATTTCCGGCAACATTTTAAAACAATTGAATTAAAATGCTGCAGAATTGAATTTAAAAAAATAAACTTAATACCTTAACTTCTTAAAAAAAGGATGGCAAAAATCAGAGGCGGATCTAGGATTTTCTTGGAGGGTGGGTGGATTCAGAAAAACTTGAACGAAAAACATTGAAATATATACAATTATAAATAAACAACATTAAACAAAATTGAGTCTTCAATGTTTTGCGGTAAATCTGACAATGACATCCTTGATTTTGATTTCCACATCTTTGTGGATGTATATAACCGCCAAAATTGAGAGTCAACCCTCCTTCATATTGGAGTGGAGGTATATTTTTAGTAATTTTATGCTCGAAAAAGAGCGCTCAGCAGTGCATACAGTCACTTGGACGGTTGCGCCAATCTGAAGTAAAGGAAAAATTATTGGCGTTGTGGAAATGCGACACACGGCTGCGCGCACTTGTGAAGTTCTCTGGCGGATCGATGCACAGAGAGAAGCCCCACATGTTTTTCAAAATTCGCACTTGCTGGGGAAATCAATTATCTCAGATATTCATCGGGGCAGCAGCTTGCACACTTGGTTACATGAAGAAGCTGCTGCAATGAAGCCTTCCATGAGGTCCATCAGGACAAAGTCAACAAAGGGCAGGTAAACGGTCAGTCTGAAGTGGTCATAAGCCGATGATACTATGGGAACCTTAGTCTTCGGCCCTCTTTCTGAACACCACCAAGCTTTGCAGCGTTAGAGTGAACGTTTCCGTAGCGGCCACTGCCTTCATGAGCAAACCATTGTTGAAAGAGTTGACGCAAGTTCGGCATGAGATCGATCGACTGAGGCAGTTTTAACGAAGGTCGCTGAAGAGCAATGCTGGTAGCTTTAGTCGCACCTAGCAGAACCCCTGCTTTCTTTATTTCTTCTAGGTCGGCAAAGCAGAAGCAGATAGGGCAGTACAGTCTCTCTTGGATCATGGAGTATGTCAGCAACTGGTATCTTTCCACGTGTTGGGAGCCAAGTATTCCTTGTTTTCCTTCCTGTTTCGTCACGAGTTCAAATGGCGAAGCTTGCAGGGGGGAACGTTGGGATTGACTTGATGTCGCTGTCTATGCCCAGTGAGCTGAAGTTGTAAATGGCGATGTCAAAGTAGGATGGAGAAGGTAGAGCTTGCTCAGAGAGCGGAGATATAAAACTAATCGATGAAAGAGCTTTGTTTTTTATAGTAACTAAAGAAATCAGCATCTCAACCCTTGAAGGTCCAGAAATGGGCGTCTCAGTAATTGATATCCTAGGGTTTGTTACATTCGCCCAGAAGTATATACCAACGGAAAATAAAGCTAGGTCCTGAAACGACTCGCTAGCGTCTAAACACAGCTTCACATGATTTTAACCGTCTCTACCAAAGCCAGTTCAATGTGTGGTCCATTAAAATCGGGTCGACAAAGTTATTACTATTTAAGGCTGTTGGCCAGATCGCGCAATTTAACTTAGTTACATGCAAAAATAGTGAGCTCATGGCTGGGTCTCAGTCTCAGTATCCCCAGACCACGAGGTCACTCTTAAGAACAGGGCTACTATTTATTATCATATTACGATTGTTTTTGTTCAGTAGATAAAAATCATATCCATCGGAGATGGATCAACACTTCCACTAAACTTCTAGCTTCTCATTTTCTGAGAAATGATTTAGAAGGTAATTCAATTCAACTCAAGACCTTTCCGGAAGCTAAAAATTGTTTAAAAACCAGTTTCAGTCTCTTCCCAAGACCCTTCCGGATTGTCGAATCCGGTCGAAGAGCGGTCTTGCTGTAGTCCAAGAAGGGTAGCAAAATCTTCCCAATACCCCTCCGAAATCTCGGGAACTGCACCGTAACGATTGTAGCTGTACAATCATTTCAATTTAGATAGTCTCGGTTGTAATCTCAATATAAATGTCACTTTTTTCTTCACTGTCGAGAATTGTTATTGTTTCTACAGGCAAAAATCGTTCTTCTGAAATTGTTTTATCACTGCAAATTGACTTCTCCCAATTTGTTAAATTGAACGATTAACACTATTAATTCGTCGAAACTACCAACTTTCTCACTCTGCTGCTGCTAATAAAATTTCGAGAAATTTCGTGGAGAAGATTTTCAAATGAGCACGGTACTTTTGAACGGGGTGTACACTCTGAATGAGGAGGATTGACAGGTACCTGTTAGCAGGTACCTGCCTCGAGTCATAAAATGAGTCCATTTTGAAAAACTTTAAGTAAAAGGTCCAAAAGCCTCACCCCGCCCCCTAAATCCATCCCTGCAAAGGATCTTTCCCATAATTTTTTTAAAAGTTTTTTAAATACTAAGGTTAACTTTCTCGAATACAGTCTCACATGTTTTAGGTAGACCAAATAGTTTTTCCGAGCGCACCCAAAACACTATAAAGATCATATTTAGTCCATTTGCTCAAATTGAATACTACGAACAAAGTCAAAAAAACTGTCAGCTGATACATCCATCATATTAGAACGCTATTGCTGGCAAGTGTTTTTCTGGAAATTAGTTTCACAACATGCCTTAAAAATGAGAAAAACTGGTCTGAGTGTTTGAGACCCAAGTTAACTTGAGGGAAACAAAATTTAGGGCTCATTTCAAGACTGTTTTCTCATCTTTTTAAAAGCAATTGACATTTAATACAAATACAATTTTAAAAAATTATTTGAAAAATTGTGTTAAAGAGCAGTAATTTTCTATTTAAGATGGCTAGTCGCTTTAGTATGAATTGCTTTTTATAAAGCTGTCTCTAAAGTTTTCCGGTTGAAGATAAACTAACAAAAGCAACAAAGCGATAACGAGGATAGCCGGTAAATGAAGCTTTTAGAATTAGTTTTGCCTGGGGTAAAACTAAAATTCCACTTACTGAAATTAAAACTTTTTTCATAAGACCTAAGTTTCATTTGCTGGAATTGCTGGAATTAGTTTGTTTCATTTGCTGGAATTTAGATTGAAACACTTTAAACTCAAACCTGTTTTTCCCGGCACCGGAAAATCTTGGAAACTTTTCAAGTCATTCGAATCATAACTAAACGTACTTTAGTATGATATATTACTCGATCGATTTCGATGATTATTGGCGCTAGCGTGAAAAACAAAATAAGCCTGCATATAAAAAATGGCTCCCACAATGTGAAACCGAAATGGTTGGTTTCAAAAATCCACCAAGCATGCTGCATACATCGTGACAACAGCAGAAAAAAAACAGATAGAAAACACGGATAGCTGGTTGCTGTGCAATTTGTTCAGAAAACTCTGACCACAAAAAAAAATTAAATAGAAAACAGTGTGTTTTAACATTTTTGTTTATATTTTGTTTGTGGCGATATAAAAAGATCTGAAGAAAACTTAGAAAGTCGATAGTAAAAGTAACTGAGATACAATTGAAAACAATTTTCATCGTTAAATGAACAGAAAAAAAAACAATTTTAACAGTCGAAATAATTAAGTTCTGAAATTTTTCAGTAAATTTCATTTTTTCAAAGGAAAAGTTCCAAAGTAGGAGCTGATCAAAACTTCTTCCTATTTATTTTAGTGTTGTGAACCGCTTTAATTGAACCGATGACGAATTTTTTCGCTTTACTCGCTCAAAGTTTTATTAAAAATCAGAAATTTCAAACCAGTTTTCCTCGACACTGAGAAAATTTCTGAAAAATTTTTAGGTAGATTTGAATCACTGAAAAACTCTAATGATATTTTACTCAAAATATTCTAATGAAAGAAGACAAAAGACAAAAAACACACCCGTAAAGTTTCTCTCCTATTCAAGTCAGAACAAAATTCTTCCATAGTTCGTTGCAAAGTTCACTCCAAATAGTAATATTAGTTTTTAAGAGACACAAAAATACTCAAGGGCAAAGTCTTCGATGTTCAACTGCAGCAGCAATTGTTTCAATTTTGATTTGTTTCAAAAAAGTGAGACATATCTTGAAACTGCTTCTTATGGTTTCAATTTTTGTTCCGACTTTCGGTACGAAAGTAACGGAATATTTGTGCTCGGTGTGGGATTTTTTTTCTTCAGACAAATTTCGACTTTTTAACTAGCCTTTTTTGACGGAATTTTTTTATATCATTCGAAAGGTATTGTTGTCTTGAGCTTAAATTTGAAAAGATATTTCACCTGTGATTATTTATCGTAAAGTTAAGAGGGTTTAAAGATCGCCATTTTGACCAATTTGGGACAATTAACGCGCGATATAATTCGCGCTATTAACGCGTAAGCGGAGATTTAATCCGTCTTATAAATCGTTCCAAATTGGTTGAACGAAGCTTATTTGCCATAATTGATTTATTACAAGGAACGAAATCTCTCTTTTTTGTACTTTATATGGCGTGTGGGGGGATGATTTTCATAAAAAATTTCAAATTTTAGAAAAAAAAATTTTCGTTTTTTTTTATTTCATTTAATTTTTTAAATGTTATTACTGCTGCTCCATAAACCTTAAAGGCAGTCGGAACATTCAGGGCTTCGCCCTGATACGAGCAGTCTTGTTTTTTTTCAAATTTTTTCGTTGGTCATTAAAACACATTTTCGTCAACTATCTTGAATCATTGATCAAAAATTGAAAAACCGTTTGTAACAGAAACCAATGTTCTACCTTGTTTCAAGAAAAGTCTTCGAAAACAATTGAATTTGTTATCTTGTGGTCCATCTTTTTCTTTTATCTAATAAACCAAGGCCGCAACCAATTTAAAATCTATTTTTAATGAACTTTCCAGAAGCTTTATAGAAAAATTAAAAGCAACGCAACATTTGATGTTCGAAGTTTGTTGAATTTTGAGAAAATTTTATATCAGTGTTAGACTTACAACGTTGCGCCATCAAAGCTGTTTCTGAAGTTGCGGAACGGGGAGGGCTGTGCTGAAGATGTGAGCAATTAACAGGTGAATGTCAAAGGGCCGGTAAGTTGGTGATATTTGTTTGCAATTTTATTATCATTAGACTGCAAGTCAAATCGGTGTCTGAGCGACGGTAATCCAATAAATTGCTGCTGTATTGGCATTTGTGTGCGGTCCTAACGCCAAAATCAATAAATTTTCTTTCATTGGCAATTCAACTGATTGGCTTGATTTATTATCAGAACTACAACTTTTGAAGGTATTTTTCCCGATGCTCTCCTAACATGCGATTATTGTCCTATTTTAATCAAATTGGCATGTGCATCTTGTAACAGAATCTATATATATTTATTATTTATACACAATCTTGTTAAACCACGATACATAATAATAGTTGCTTTCTGGGGCATAAACATTTGGGGGCATAAGAAAGTTAAAGCGTATTTGATTGAAGTTAGGGCTCTTTTTCCTTTTCTGCCTCAACTCAAATATCTATCAAGATTATGGTGTAATGAGAAGTTTTACCAGGTTAAAAATGTGATCAAATATGCTTGCCGCGGCCTAATTAGTTCGCATGCTTTTTTGTAACAATTGGAGAAGGTTAACAAGAAAAATACCAGAACAAATTCAAAAACTCTAAGGTGGGAGGAAGATCTGAAAATAATTTCAAGTCAGCTACACAGTTTTTTAAGTCAAGCCAAAAAATCACCATTTTGTGGGGAAAATCACCATTTTGTGGGGAAAATATCTGACTTGAGAATATATGTTTAATATATTGGGATAAAAACTTCTTATTGTTCCGACCATTGAAAATGGGGAGGATTTTTGTATTCGGGTGTGTTTTAGTTTTTTTTCGGTTATTATTTCACGCAAAATCAGGTACCACAAATAATCACCGGAAAGCGTCGAGTGATATATCATATTAAAGCTTTTTAGTCGCGATTCGGTCCTGAAAAAGCCAAAAAATGTTGAACTTTTAGTTGCAAATTGCAGGGTTGGCCAAAAAACTGTACAAAATCAAACATGATCTTAAAACACTGGGGTGACTTCCTCAGAACAAATTGCACAAACGTTGCTTATGTCCTGATAATAACTTCCAAAGTTCCGCAGGTTGATTCTAAATTAGTCGTATCAGTCAAAATTCATAGTGAAGGCAGAAATAAACTGCGCAAGCAAAAAAACTGAAAAACTCAAAAAAGTAGCTTTGAAGAGCAAGAAAAAAATGCAAAATAGAAATTTGTTTTGAAAATTGATTTCCCTGAACGGTAATTGAACCAGAGACTACGAGCACTTAAGTCGACTGTTTATCACAACTGTGCCACTAATGTTTTAACAAGCGAAACACTGGCCAATGTTAAAACGGAGAACATATGAAATTAAACTCTGAATACTATGCAGCAAACATGCCATCAAAAACTGCAATATTTTATGCAAGCTACATTAGAAAAAATGAGCTTCGTAATAAAACATAATCCTAGCAAGCGCGCTTAGGTACACATGTGGAAAATTTACATTAGCCTGTATTATTATTGTCTACAATAGCCTGTATTATAATCGTCAGCATCGATTGAACCATGTTTACTTAGCGTTAGTTTGCTGTTGTTGTTATTATTCCGTAGCGCTAGGTTACTAAAAAGCATATACTCCTATTAATTAGAACAACTCGGCCCTTTTATGAGCCCGTTAAATTTACGACTTCGGTTAAAAAAGTCAAAGCGTTTAAGAACACAAGCATTTGCTTGAATATTTATTAGATAAATGGCCTTGCGTGAGAAGACATTTTCCTTTTAAAAATATTACAAAAAATTTTTTACAGAATTTATTTCGCATATATTTTGGAGGACAATTGCAAGACCTTTTAATTTGATTTCATTTTTTTTATTCAGCTTACACAAATCCAACCGAAGTACGAATTGAATCATCCAAGTAAGAAAAGTCACCCGACACCTACTTTATATAATTGTCATACACAGAGATGAAGCGGAGCTTCGCGTCATTGCGATACAACACAGTAGCAGTATTGCAAACTAGCGAATAGATAAAGAAACGAATACAATAACAATCGAAAATTTTTTCTGGAAAACGAAAAAAATTTCAGAAAAACAGCTGAAAAACACCACTATTATTAAACTAGCTTTTCCCTATTTATCGAGCGGCACTAAGTCTAAAAACAGCGGACAGACGAACATCGAGCCGAAAACAGAAATTGTCATAAGAAAGTGTCAGAAAAAATTTCGAACAATTTAATTTTAAAACTTAAAATCTGCAACACACAATATTTGAAATATATATTTTTTTCAAAATCAATGATTGTCTGTTTTTGAAACCATTTAGGGTGAATGTGCGAAAAAAAAATCAAACCAAAAAACAATGTCAGAGCTAATTTCAGTGAATCAAAAACAATTGCATCTACAATGAAAACTACTGACAGCACAAAATAATCCCTAGAGCTCTACCTCTAGGCAAAAAGAGGACAACGAAGTTGCTCAGGTTCTCAAATAAAACAATTTACCTGAAAGGAAAATTAATTACTGGAAAAAAGTCTAGTTCCCGATTACAAGACACTTGCTTTCACAAGTGTATCAAGTATCCGCCAATTTTTCAGCTGAATTGCAGCTGCATATGGTCCTTTTTATGATCATTTTTGAATTGATCTAAAACTGATTTCTTGTAAAATCATCTTTTTAGATCAAAACACAGCGAAACTACTCTTTGCAAATAAAGGCAACAATTTGCTCTAAAAACGGCGAAAAGGAAAATGCAACAAAAAATGCCAGGAAACAAAATCAGCAACTAGTGAAGAATATATATTTTCTGAATATAGAGTTTCTGAAGCAAATGCTGGACATATGTTTTCAGTCTAATATGGGTTAACTAGCTTCTCGGCTCAAATAAGTCACTTACTCGTTTTGAATCAGAGATAAAATTGACAATTTGTCAAGTGCATAAAATTGCTTCAAACTTATTCCAACAAATTGACAATTTGTCAATTTTTCGATACTCCAAAACTTACTGTGTGAAATTTCAATTCATTCTTAATCATTGAATCAAACTCATTCAATAAATAATATACCAATTTTGTTATCAACGATAGAAATAGATAATAACACTTCGAAGTCAAGATAAGCATCAATTTGCATTTTTAACCAAAGAACTGATAGTTAAGTATGTGATTTTACATATAAACAAGACTACTCGTATCAGGGCGAAGCCCTGAATGTTCCGACTGCCTTTTAAGGTTTATGGAGCAGTAATAACATTAAAAAATTAAATGTAAGAAAAAATGGCTCTTTTTTTTTCCCCCCACCTCACATAAGGGTCAATTTCATGGTGTAACGAGGGGTTTTACAAGGTTAATTATGAAGACTAAAAATGTTTATCATGGCTTATTTAGTTTGCATGCCAATTTTTGTAACATTCAGATAAAGTGAACAAAACATCACTTGTAAAATTTTGCAGGTGGGGGGGGGGGAAGGAAAAAGAGCCGAAAAAATAAAATGAAAATTTTTTTTCTTCTAAATTTTGAAACTTTTTATGAAAATCATCCCCCCACACGCCATACAAAGTACAAAAGGATATATTTTGCTCCTTGTAACAAACCAATTATGGCGAATAAGCTTCTTTTAACCAATTTGGAACTATTTCTAAGACGGATTAACTCTCCGCTTACGCGTCAATAGCGCGAAATATATCGCGCGTTAATTGTCCCAAATTGGCCAAAATGGCAATGTTTAAGCCCCCATAACTTTACGAAAAATGATCACAGGTGAAATATCTTTTCAAATTTGAGCTCAGGACAACAATACCTTTCGAATGATATAAAAAAAATTCCGTCAAAAATGGCTAGTTAAAAAGTCGAAATTTGTCTGAAGAAAAAAAACCCACCCCGAGCACAAATATTCCGTTACTTTCGTATCGAAAGTCGGAACAATAACATATAACTTGATTCGATTAAACGGAGAGTCGTCGGCTTGATAAATCAGGAGAAATAAATATATATATATATATATACAACATCGAAACAACGTTTCTAAAACTAACAAATTTTCACAATTGTCGCAATTTAAGCCAACTTCACAGTCAACATACATCAGTCGATTCTCAATGAACTACAGTCATTTTCATCGCAGTTCAATCACGAGTCCTTACGGTTGATATTGTTGCTTAACAAATCATAGATTTTCAGGTGATTCCACACTCGGTGTCACAGATTATTCATTAACTTCAAGCATCAAACCGTCCAAAAAAACAAGTTCTGAACAAGTTCGTATAGAGAGAAACTGCATGTTGGTTGCTGTTAGATGGCGCCTCCCATGCGTATGACGTGGTAGCAGTGTTTACACACTCGCACGTTCTTGTCTAGGTGGAATTTTGGGATGGGCGACATCTGTTGTGAGCAGGGGGCACATAGTTCTCTGCCACAGTGTCTGCAGTGGTGTCTTCTGAAGGTCACTGTGAATTTGGCCACACACTCCATACACACGTCTGACTCACTCCACTTCGGTTCACTAAAGTTCAAACATAAGTACTCAATTTATTATTTTCGCTTCACGTTTTGTCTATTGATGAAGCGCGCAATTTTCGGTTACTACTTTGATTTATCAACTATACATTCGAAAAATGTACTCTAAATTTTGTTCCACATTTTTGGGCCGTTGACAAATATCAACAAAACTCTAAGCCAATGAGAAAACCAGATCAGTATCATATAGTCAAATCGGAAAACAGTACATTTTAAAGCATTAAATATTTTCTAGAGAGAAACTGCATGTTGGTTGCTGTTAGATGGCGCTCCACATGCGTATGACGAGGTAGCAGTATTTACAAACTTGCACGTTCTTGTCTAGGTAGAATTTTGGGATGGGCGACATCAGTTAGTTTTAAAGCATTCAAAGCAATGATTTTTCTTAATTTCGAGTCTTGCATCGAAAGTTCAACACCTATTACGTCAACTTTTCCAGTCTAATATGATTATAAAAATCACTATTTATCTTAAATTTACGTCTGCATCGGATGTTTACCACCCAATTAAGACAAAACTTTCAACGACTAAAATTACGAAAAAATTTGAAAGTTCAACACGAATTACCACAAAAATTTTCAACGACGAACACAACAACAAAATTCAGGTACAAAAAAAAATAAAATTTTCTTTTTTTACAACTTGCATCTTTTTTTACAACTTGAACTCAAGAAAACTGAAATAGCAAAAAATTTTCAAAGCAGTGCTTGGTCGAACCACTGACCTTCGTCTTTATAAGCATGTGCGTTACCTCTTCGCCACGTGGGAAAACTAACGTCTGACGTGTGATTTAATATGAACCAAAGGTAAAATGATTCAAGTGATTCTGTTTAACTAGTTGTTAACCCGAAAAAAGTCTTCATTCCGGTTTGATAGCGCTTGCTAAATCGCAAGCGTAAATAGTTGAAATGAATCTTGAGACATCATTCAAACTCAATTACCGGACCCGAAATTGAGTAAAAAACTGAAAGTAATTGCCTCCGAAAGTCAAAAACTTTGACAGAAATTAAAATTAATTTGTTAAAAGAAGCAGGAGCGAATCTAGTTTTTTTCGATTATGTCAAACTTTTCCAACAAATCAAGACTAACAAAAACTATAGAGTCGTGTACCTGCTGACAAGTTTGAGCAGCCCGTGTAATAGATCAGTAGTGGGTGCAGGATATGTGAATATACTGAGTGCCTGTTTGTTCACAGTTCCCAATGTCACCCCCCTGGTCACCAGAGCACGACACAGTTGGGAGTGACCGTTGATGTAAGCGAGGAGTAACATCGTATTTCCCTCTGAGTCTTCGTCGTTCAGCGAAATTGTATTACCTGGAAAAAAAATTATTACTCAATTTTTATTCTAATTAACTTTAAATTAGGACGTATGAGCTCTTAACTTGAAAGCAATTGACCCTAATTCTGGGCAGTGTCAAGATATCAAAATTTCTTAACAACCTTCCTGATAAACCAAAAAATTACATACACACACTCTCTATAATCTTCTCGAAAAAATACAAACATCATCCACAGATAGTTGGAAAAATGTCAATGAACTCAAGAAAACCGAAATAGCAAAAAATTTTCAGAGCAGTGCTTGGTCGAACCACTGACCTTCGTCTTTATAAGCATGTGCGTTACCTCTTCGCCACGTGGGAAAACTAACGTCTGACGTGTGATTTAATATGAACCAAAGGTAAAATGATTCAAGTGATTCTGTTTAACTAGTTGTTAACCCGAAAAAAGTCTTCATTCCGGTTTGATAGCGCTTGCTAAATCGCAAGCGTAAATAGTTGAAATGAATCTTGAGACATCATTCAAACTCAATTACCGGACCCGAAATTGAGTAAAAAAATGAAAGTAATTGCCTCCGAAAGTCAAAAACTTTGACAGAAATCAAAAATTAATTTGTTAAAAGAAGCAGGAGCTAATCTAGTTTTTTTTCGAAAGGCTGAGCGGATTTTCAAAAATAGTTCTTCAAATATTTGGTTGAACTTTTTTGGTCGACCAATTTGACTTTTCAAACTCTCCTGAAAAATTGGAAAGAACAGCTTGCCAAAAATTTTTGCGCCGCAGTTGAGTTCGCAAAAACAGGCCAAAAGGTCCGATTTAGGCTGTTTTTCAAAATTTGATGCGTTTTTTGCAACCTAATCTTATTTGAAATGCGCCTTTAGAAAAAATTTAGGATTGGTCGAACAGATGGATGTGGCAGCAGTTAGGAATTTCTCTAATCTTCAATTCATAAAAAATCATAGCCATGGTAGCCATCTTCGAAATATGAGACAATTACGAATCTGCATCTAAGTTTCATGAAAACATTTCAGTAAACATTTACCATTACGTGTTGACGAAACTACTGCAAATATCATATTGTTGGTAATCAAAAAACTTTTTTTCGTGATTTTCAATAGTTAGGTAAACATATAAACTATCATGTGATCACTCAAAGTCAAATTAGCAGTCTCTGAAAAAAAACGACTATTTTTCCTTCCTTCATGGCAGGTTTTCAATTTCTATGATAGTTTTTTCGCGCTATTATAGCTTTAAACAAGTACAAAATTTAGACAACTTTTTGAAGCTAGAAGGGGATGGGAAACGGGAAAATGACCAGTTTTTTAGAGAGCATCAAAAAACCACATTAGTGAGGAGCGCATTTCGGTTTTAAGTTTTTTCATTACAACCCCCCTCCCATAATAGACAGTGAAGACAAAACTTTTTCTTAATAGCTAGCTTAATAGGCTGGGGGGGGGGGAATTGAAAATAAGCCCGGCATATTTTATCACAGCACAATACCTGCGGCGTTGAGTAGTAGTGGGAATATGGACATTACAGAAGTGGAGTCTGCTTTTGAGGAACAAGCGGCCAAAGTATGCAGCACATTGCGTCCACGAGCATTCTTCAGTCTCAAGTCAATCTTGTTCTTGCTCAGTTCTGAATAAAGAACCCGAATTTTACAGAATCCGCAGTATATAAACAATGCTTCTTCGCTTAAACTAAGCTAGTAAAAATAAGCACTTTTTTTGCTGAGAATTGAAGTTTAACCTGCAATGTTCACATCGTCCAATTGTTACAAAAAAAGTGGCATGCGGAACAATTACAATAAAATTGATGTTTTTAGACGAGGGGAGCGGGGGGGTTAAATGTATAAGCCATGAGCTCGTATCCATGTGCCGAGACATCTCTTAGAATCGTCCTTTTTAAATTTTCACACAGAGGCAAACACTAGCAAGAAAACGACAAAAGCAGCTCTATCAAAAGTAATAAGAAAAAGTACAAATAAACCTCAAATTAGTAAAACTTTGCTATGATTCGGCTTCGTACCTGCGACCTCGAAATTAAGAGTCTCACGCCCTTCTCTGACCGTCAAACATTAGCTACATACAAAGCAAAGAACAGATGCTATCAAATTTCAATACTAAAGATCGTGATGAAGGGGCACTTTTATTTGCGAATTAAGTTGGAAAACATAGCCAATCGAAGATTGGAAAAGAGTAATGAACGCAAGTAAGCACAAAAAAACACTGAACTTGATTTTAAAAAAGCTAAACTTTCGAATATCAAAGAAAAAAAATAGATGCGCTTCAAGCTCTTTGAATTTCTAGAACGACTAATGATTGGCGCTTTTTTGATAACATTAACCCAAATTGAGAAAACGGGATCAACAGGTTAAAGTTTTTATTCCGCTGGAAATCTAAACATAGCCAACTGAAAGTTGGAAAAGAGTATTGAACGCAAGGAAACTAAAAAAACGACTTGTTTTTTTTTCGAAAAACTTAACTGTTGAATTTCGAAGAAAAATAGATGGCCTTAAAGCTTTTCATTTGTAGAACAATTTATGAAGGACACTTTTGTGTTAAAATTAACCCAATTTGAGAAAACTGGATCAATCGGTAAAACTTTTCTTTCGCTGGGAAATCTAATAATTAATTTCCATTTTCGAAAAAAAAAAGACGATCACGTTTTTCATGACCTTAAAAATTTTGCTGTTCGACAGCGCAGTTTGCCTTCCTATTAATAAAAGAAATGCACTGAACTTGAAAAGAAATCACAAGTCAAACCGCGAAAAATCAAAATTGAGCGTCAACAAATTTTAAGACTTTTTCCTGAAAAAAAAACAAAAAAAATCTGCAAGACTTATATAAAATTACTAAACGTTCATTAAATTCCACTTCCAAAACTATATATTTTTCACGTTTTTTGCGCCATTTCCAAGTTCGTAGTTGGAAAGTGCTATCTACGTCACTTTCAGCAGATAAATTTCAATTGAACTCAAAAAGTGCATACATACCTAAGTGCATTCATAAAAGCAGCCAGATGTATGAATGCACATCTGTAGTTATAAGAGACTTTTATGCACATTTTAGGACTTTTTCCTAAAAAAAAAACAAAAGGAAAATCAGCAAGACCTATATAAGAGTCTTGACTGCGTTCATTAGTCTTTAAAAAAAGAGAGTCATACTAATACACTACGCTAGCTAGTGTAAATATCCATGAAGCAAAACAAATCAGATCCTGGAGCTGAAAAAAGTTCAACATCATCACAGAGATCAATCAACAAATTAAAGATATTTATCCATTTATTGAAACAATAGAGGATATGCTTTAATTTAGATGGCGCTAAGGCTTATCTTGGACTGCTTTAGCTTATCATTAGGTCTCATCTCTACTGCAAGAATTTAATTAACTTAATTCAAGTCCAAATGACGATTTCTAATCTCTTCCACACCCCCCCTAAACTTCCTGTGTATTATTGCCAAATCTCATTTTTAAAGATATAATCCGTGATATAATCCAATAGTACGCCTGCATATCTCAAAACTTCCATCATCGTCGCTAAAAGCAACTCCTAAACCAGAAAAGAAGACAAAGAGTCAGGAAGATACCCGATTTTTTGTCAGCGACTTATATGCAAACATTATCCCCATATCTCTACGCAGGGGCGGATCTAGGATTTTCTCGACGGTGGGGGGGATTTTCAAAAAATGTTCGAAAATTTAGGTCGACCAAAATGATAATCCGAGCTCTCCCAAAGCAGTAAAAAGAACCTGTTTTGGCCAAAATTTGTGCACAGCAGGCAAAATTTTGAAGTGCATTTTTAGGCACTTTTTCGAAAATTTTTACCAAAAAAAGCGTTTTTTCGGCGCGCGCTCCCCTCTAAAAATTAGTATGTGTTGGGGCCAAAGGTGCCTTTAGAAAAAATTTAGGCCCGTCAGCCAAAAATGGATATCCTAAATTAGTACAAAGGGGGACTCTTTGGGTCGAATCCCTGGGGGGGGGGCTCCCCCCCCTAAATCCGCCCCTGACTCTAAGTCACATTCATACGAAACTTTTAGTCAATTGAAATGGACCCAGGTTTTGAATGAGAAAACGACAACGCGTAAATCGAATTGCTTATAAATCAGGAATAAGTTTTCAACATGTGTTACAACTTTCCTTTATAGAAAAGCTAATCAAATACGGTGAAGATAGATTTGAAACACAATGAGGTCAACCATTAACTTTAATTCTTATTTCACAAATTATACTTTTTGTATGAAATTACTTGAAATTTATTGCTTGCTGAAAGAATCATCTTCCCTATCAGATTTGAAAATTTGACTGATTTCTGAAAACCTTTGCTTTGAGCTTCGCTGAGAGACCGTTTAAAAAGTTAGAGAGCTGGAGGTCAAATATAAACCGTTAAAAAGTTAGAGAGCTGGAGGAAAATTGAGCGTTAACAAACTTACATAAATTTTCTGGATACTATTTTCCAACTAAGTTTTGAAAATTGCATGCAGAATGAAAAAAATCAACTAGCCGAGTATGCGTTTAATAGTGTAGACGTGTCTGCTTTTTACTGCCAAATGCAGTGGTGTATTTCCTTCTGCATCTTGGATATTCACATCAGCGCCTCCGTTTTCCAGCAGAATAGCACACAACTCATGACTTCCCCTATCGGCCGCTTAAACATGGACATAGTTTAAAAACTTACATCGCCCAAATTTACAAACTTATAGAGAGTACAAAGAGTTGCGATACAACAGTATCATAAAAAAATCAAAAAAAAAATAACAAAAAATGCTGAAAAAAACTAGGTGAACCAACATTAATTTGATAAAAGACACCTAGGGCTCAACTAAAGCTGGAGGTACGCATATGATATGCTTTTGAATTTGTTGTACTGATGCGGGACGAAATGCGTAATTTCAAAAACTGGACTTTGCCCCACAACCTTAGTTGTTTCTCTACTAAAATAAGTGAGGAAAGCGAAAATTTTTGAGATTTTGGAATGTTCTTCAAAACCTTCTTTAAAAGTTCTCTAACAAAAAAAATAGGAAGTAGCCGCTTCTGCAGAAAAAATTCTCGCAACCGCTTCGTTCAGTTGAAATTTTCATCTCAGATTTGATAGGGTAGTTTCAAAGAAAAATTAGAAAAACGATAAAATTCAAAAACATGACTTTCCGATAGCGTTAACTTTTTTCTGCTAGAAGCAGTTTGTGGCCGGTAAAGTAGAGAAGAATCCCAAAATCGAATTTCTCGTTTGAACACTCAACCTGAGAATAAGCACGACAATTTTTGAGTGGATTAAAAAACTTCTGAAAAACGGTCCAATTTTTTAAACTTTCACTTGTTTAAATGCCATAACTTTTTTCTGAAAGAAACTTGGCGTAGCAAAACAGGAAGGTTAATTTCCAACAACCTGTTGGGTCGATTAAACCTATGATATTAGATTTGGCAGGATATTTATCAAAAAAAGTCCAAAAAACGGTCAAGAAATAAGAAAGTGACATTTCTGAGCTTTTTGTTATAAAAAACAGTTGGGCGTAGCCGCTTATGCAAAAGAAATTCAGCCTAGGTTTGGATGGCCATATTTTTTTGAGTCGAAAAAATTGGGCGTAGCCGCGTATGCAAAGGAGCTTCCCAAAACCCGTTCTTTGGATTGAAACCAAAATCTCAGACACGAGACTGATTTTTGGTTAAATTCATAAAATTTACAAAAAAAAAACGCTCAAAGAATTGACTTTTCCGAGGACGATAAATTTTTAAGAAACAAAAAACCGTTATTCCCATTGAACCCAAAACCTCAGGTTTGGGAGGTTATTTCTTGAGAAAAATTTTAAAATTTTAGAAAACGGTTTAAAAAAAATCAAAAACTTTCGGAGGGCTACTATAATTTTATGAGTTAAAAGTTTGAGTACAATCGCTAATCGACGGGCGCTCTCAGATTTGTTAGGTTAGTTTTTGAGAAAAGATCGGTGAAATATTTACCCCACAGACCTTTTCGAAGGGCAAAAAATATTAAAATTTTCCAGAGCGTCTCAAAAAAAAATAAAAACACCCCTACACTTTCATAATAACTGTTTTTTATCAAACAAGAAATCTAGGCAAACAAGCCAAGCAAAAAATTACAAAGCTTACGAAGCTGATAACAAGGCCGACTATCTTTGAGAAGACACCAGTTGTGCCGAAAAAAACTGATTGTATATAAAAATAAACTTTAAAAAGTTTCAAGCCCTAGAAATAGAAAAAACTAATAGAAGCTAAACACTGAAAAATAAAGAAAATTGAAGAAAAATACCCAAATGCAGTGCTGTTTGAACAACTCTTGTGACCGCGTTTACATTGGCGCCCGCGAGAATCAGATTTCGCATGATCATCTGAAGTGAGTCGTTGTTCGGTTGGGCGGAGAGAGCAGCCACATGTAGAGGCGTCATGTCTGACTTGTCTTGCATTCTTACGTTCACGTTGGCTCTACAGGTCAGCAGAAAGAGGACAGACTGAAGGTCAACTGATTGTGCTGAAACAAAACCAATTAAGTACCTCTTCAAATACCCCTATAACAATAGAGAGAAAGCCGTTAACAAGTACCATATTTCCAAACTTTAAACATTGAATTGATAGGGGTGGCTATTCATTAATAGGTACCATAGGGGTGGGGGAATGATAAAGAGATGCAAAATAAACACGGAGGCGAGGCTTCGCTTCGGAAACACTAGCGAGAAAACGACAAAAAGCAGCTCTATAAAGTGCCTTAAGAAAAAGTAGAAATAAGCCTCGAATTAGTAATATTTCGGCTTAGTCTTTCATCTCCGACCGATCGCTACCCAGAGATTGTGAGTCTGACGCACTAACAACAACGCTAAATAAATCACAAACACTGGCCACAAATAAAGCAGAGAAGAGATGCTATGAAATTTCCAATGCTACAGATCGTGATTATAGCACAAGTGCCACAAATAAGTGAACACTTTTAATGAGCACTTTTATGTGAAGGTTCGTACTGATACACTAAGCTGCTGGCTAGTGTAAGCACCGGAAAGATAAGGGCTTTCCGCCGTGGAGCGTGGTTTTAGATATGAACAATTGAAAGCCTTTTTTTTTTGATTTTTTCTTAAATCAGTTTGGACAGATTATTCGATACAAAAAACGGTATACAATTAGACACGGAAACTTTACAAACACAAGCAAAAATACGGAAACAGTAGCTCTCAAAAGGCAAAGAAAAGATAAGGACAAAACAGACAAAAAAAGTCTTGTAAAATAAACTTTTCACTACTTGTGCCAAATTTGAATTGAAAACCTGAGAATACGAGTCTCTCGTCTTCACATCTGAGCCATAGCCGCTTAAAAAGGCAGAAACCAAAAAGGCCGATAGAACAGATGCTTTTAAATGGCTATGCTATGCAGCAAAAGTTCCACCATATGGGCAGTTTTATTTGCGAGTTTTCTTAGTAAAAAAGATAGATTCGTAATAAATTTATGAGATAGCAAAAACTGTTACTACCAAGTACAGCAATTGCAGAGTAAGTATCACGGATTGTGCCGACTATATTTATCGTAGCAGAACAAAATGAAAACAAAAAACAAATATCATAAAAAAAATTATTAGAAGGCGAAATAAAACTTCACGTCATCAACTTCTCGATTCGATATTGTGAAATCATAAAAGTTGAAACCTATGCATACCCTCGCAAAGACATACAAGGATAAAATCAGTTTGAAAAAATAGATAAAACATAGAAAAAAAACTAACATGAAAATTTTAACTAACATAATTTTTTGGGCCTTTTATTCAAAACATAAAACATAGCCGATCGAATATTGGTAAAAAGTAATGAAGGTTAGTAAACATAAAAACACTGACTTTGTTGGAAAAAAAACTTTCGAATTTCAAAAAAAAATCCCTTTAAGCTCTTTGAATTTAGAACAATTTATGATTGGCGCTTTTTTGATAACATAGCCCCAACCAGAGAAAACTGGATCAATAGGTTAAGTTTTTATTCCGCTGGAAATCTAAAAATTAAATTCCATTTTCGAAACAAGAAATCGTTCACGTTTTTTGCGCTATTTCTACGTTCGTATTTTGAGAGAGCTATTTACGTCACCTTCGGCAGATGAATTTCAATTGAACTCAAAAAGCGTACATATATCTATGTGCATTCATCAATGCATCAATAAGTATGAATGCACATCTGTAGTTATTAGAGACTTTTATGCACATTTTAGGACTTTTTCCTGGAAAAAAAGTCGGCAAGACCTATATAAGAGTCTTCATTACGTTCATTACTCTTAAAAAAACCTCGGCAACCAAAAACGAGACAACATCCGCAAAGCCAACAAAATTTGAAAACCCTTTTTTAAACATCTAATTTAATAGACATATTATAACGCGGTAAATGAGATCATGACACGGTTAGTATCACATGTAGTAAAACTAGGATTTTCTTCGCCTTCAAATTTAAACAAATTTTTAACCGCGGAAAACCGTCTAGTAACTTAAAAAAACATTTGGTTGCAAAATTCGCACGGTTTAGGAAATTACACGACAAGCAAATTAGACAATCCGAATTTGATTAAATTTAGAAAATAACCAACTTCCAATTGTTTAAAAATAAATAAATTTGTTTACTGACTTAAAGAAACTTTTGGTTGAGGAAACACTGATTGTTCAACAGCAAATCAGGTTGCTAATGTCACAATTATATAATCTATGCATTTCAAAAGTACTATACTTTTTCAATTGAGTGTTTCATATCAACAATTTTGATCAGTTCTGTGATAAAAACACTCTTTTTGTTTTGTGTAACTTCATTCTAAACAAAAAATTGTGTTGGCCCAGTTCTCATCGTCTAAACTCACAAAGAACATTCGTCTAATTTCAGTCACTTTACGATCTTCTGATTTGATTGTCGTCTCATTTCCTAGGTCCAAAATTCACATATGCTTAGCTAATAAATCATTTCCTCATAGAGGGGAAGATTCGTTACTATGTACCATGGGAAGCAGGAGTGGGAAGGGGAGTGGAGGGGAGGGTAGGGTATAGTTGATGAGATCCGCTAAAGGCCCCAAAAATACATGGAAGGGAAGATGAGGGGAGTGTCGGGGAGGGGATGGTAGGGGAAGAGATCTGCTAAAGGCCCCCATGAAAATATATGGGAAAGAAGAGACTGTACCAGCTAAGTGTAGGAGACTCCTGCCTCTGTTGTCCAGATGTTCCACGGCACTGGGATCCCTCTGCAGAATGAGGTTGGCTGCCCTGTCGTTCTTGTACTTGAGAGTGTATCCGAATGGAGTGGATCCTCGCGCGTCCTTCGCACTCAAGGATACCTCGTGACACGTCATCAATACATCCACACAGTTCTAAACAAGCCAATAACGACATGAAAAAACTGACTCTGCAGACAAGTGTTGAAAAAGTACAATAAACAACTCGTAAAACCAATACAATTGGATATTTTTGACTTTAATTTCATTTTTTACATCAAAAAATATCAACCTTTTTTGAAAACATTGCTTAAAAAAACGGCATTTTCTCTGCTAAAATCAACAGAGAGGCGAAGCTTTGCTTCGCAAACACTGGCAAGAACACGACAAAAAACAGTTCTATAAAGGGGTGCAATAAGTAAAAGTAGAAATAAGCCTCGAATTAGTAAAAAGTCGGCTGTCTCGGATTCGCTCTGCGACCTAGAGATTATGAGTCTCCCGCACTACCCACTCAGCCACGGACACTAGCGACAGATAAAGCAGAGAACAAATGCTGATCGTGATAATAGCAAAAGTGCCACTAAATAAAAGAACACTTTTATTTGCGGGTCAAAACAAAAAAGGAGGTTCGCACTAATACGCTAACGTTCGCAAGCTTGCTAATGTAAACATAACCAACAGAGTTGGAAAAAAGAGTCATAAACGAAAGGAAACGGAAAAAAATACTGACTTGTTTTTTGAAAAAATCCTAACTTTTGAACATCAACGAAAAAAAGACGGCCTTAAAGCTGTTCACGTTTCTAGAAAAAAATATGATTTACATTTTTTCGATAAAATAACCCAATTTGAGAAAACTGAATCAATGAGTGCTATTTGTATAGATAAGTAATAGGAACTACAAAAGATAGTCCATACAGAGTTCTCGGATTCGATCGCAATATGCAGACAAGTCTTCTTCTCCGAGTTCTTGCTGTTGACTTTGAATCCGTGTTCCAACAAGGCCAGAAGGACTCCAGCCAGACCTAGTCTGGCAGCCAGGTGTCCAGGGGTGTCCTGTCGATCCAGATCCTGTTTCGCTCGTTCATTCAGGTTACACCCTGGAGCCGATTCCTGGTAGACTGCTTCCAGATCCACGTTGCCGCAACAGCGCACAAGGAAACAAGCCACCGCTTCATTCTTTTCCTAAATTTTACAAATAAATTCTAATTTAATGAGTAAAAATAACATCAATAAATGACAAAAATTGTTGACTCGTTGAAGACTGACGTTGAAATGCATCGTAAAGCGTTGCAATTTCTTTGAAGCTAAGAATTTTGAACCTTCTCCGATTTATAAAATAAAATCAATTTAATTACAAGTTCTTAGTTTCTTACATTGATATTTTTTTTTTACAATTTACAATAAAATAGGTGTCTAACATTTCAAATGATATGTTTATACTTTTTGATGTCAAATTCGACTATTTAGACGTCAATTACATTTGACATCTCAGCTTTTTTAACCAAAATCATATCAACGATCAACTCGCGTAATCCAATATTAGTAATGACCTTTATAGCTCGGTGCAGCATTGTTTGGAAGTATCCATCTCGCGGGGAAATATGCCACCCATTGGCATCACAGCCATGCTTCACTAGAATTGAAGCCACATCTTCCTGCCCTGTTTCCAAAGCTACCCAGAGCGGCAAATTGTTATTCGTATCAGCCTGTGACATATCAGCTCCTCGTATACATAAAGCGTCCACTACTAACGGGAGATGCCGCTTAATTGCTGACATCAAAGGCGAATCACCATTCGCAGATCGGAATGAAAAATCAGCGTTTCGGTCTAATAAAAATAAAGCGCTTGAGCTGTCTTGGTGCATTATAGCTTGTTGAAGTAGACATTCGCCAATTGCATTTCGATCGTTGATATTTGAGCCAGCTTTTAGCAATTCGTCAGCGCAGTTTAAGCCCAGCCAAAGAGATAATGCGAACGGCGTTTGCTCGAAACTATTTTTCTCATCCAAATTTAACTTTTCGGGGTTAGTTCTTTTAAATTCGATCATGAGCCGTACAATGTTTTCATGCTTGTGCCAAATTGCAAGATGAAGGGGAGTTTGATGCGAGGCCTCCGAGGCCAATGATATTGTTGATTCCTCCTCTTCGAAACTTTCGTTTTGGTTAGCCGATGACGGTTTAGTTGAAGTCGTGTCGCCGAATGAGAAATTAGTAATGGCGTTTCCGAGTTGTGAGGAGGATATCACACTCACGTCAGGATCCGAAAAATCATCGTCAGTTACTTCTTCATCAATCCATTCTTCGATTTCTTCAAACTCATCTTCAGGAGGGCTTTCGTTCCTTTCTGATGGCACCGCTTCTTCGAACGGATTTGTAGAGATACTCACATTGTCTGGATCTGCAAAAGGATTTGAGGCCCAGTCTTCGGCGTCTCCGTCATCTTCTGAAAGTGAAACGAAACTTAACCAGGCCTTTTATAGAAGTTATAGGCAGATTGGCCAACCTCTTTTAAAATTCTATGACTGATGGTATGGTACAATTCAACACAAAGGCAGGACTAGATTTCAAGAGAAGGACCTTGATCTGAAAAAATTGGACCCCTGGTTCAGTTTGAAATTTAGAAAAATATCCAGAAGACGATTTTAAAAATTGTTTATGAACTCAAGGAAACCGAAAAAAAAAACTACTTCTGTTTTTGAGAAATCTGGATAACTGGAAAAATTTTCAAACTTGATTCAAAATTGTTATATTTGATCCAAGGATAAGCCTTGATGATCAGGATATAAAATTAATGAAATTAAATTTAATTTGGATGAAAGTAATTTAAAGATCCAAGGAAAGCCTTGATGATCTGTTAAATTTAAATAAGTTTGATTTAAAGAAAAATAAAAAATAGGATAGGATAGGCCTTTATAATTTAAGTTTAAGCTTTAATTTATAATTTTTAGTTAATTAGTTTTTGATGATGTTAGTGGATTTATGATTCGCTGTTATGTTTTAGGTGATGAAGCTGAGATGAAGAGATGATTTATATATTACTAACAATTTGTGTGTTTACTAACTAATTTTTATAATTTTATTTTCAATAAACATTTTTTCCAGATATCTTTTTAAATTTACTGCAGATTTGAAGGGAACGACTATCAGGGTGTTTTTATCAGTCGTTATTGTACAATAATAAGTTTAGAGCCTGTAATTGTCGTTGAAGATTTTTCTTCAAAAATACTATGTTTGCAAATGAAAATCTAAACTCATTGCTAATAAAATTCTAAATACAAAAGTTTGTGTTGGCTTTTGCCGTACGACCATGAATTTTATGGGTAATTTCCTTTGTAGTCGTATATCGTCTCTTTTCCGAGGTCTTTTTCCAATACCGGGTAGTTCTCGTATTGTTCGGAAAAATGGCTCTGATCTATTGAGTCGTAGAGACATTTCAATTAAATTATTGTCGTGTAACATTTTGGAAACGTTTTTTGTCTAAATCTAATCTATTTGGTTAGCTCTTAGCTAATTTGTTTTTAAGGTCTTGTTCGAGACTTTTGGTCGCACCAGATGAGTTTAGATGTGAGGTAAACTCATTCATAGAGTAATTTCAGATAAGGTACACCGTCTGCTCGTCACGCTATCTTATTTTCGGCCGGATAGATTCGTGCAACTTCTTAGTCTAATATCGATCTTAATCTTACATCACTTAGTCTCAATAGATCTAGAGTATACTAGTTTAGTTACGAGTCGGTCTCTTGGAGATAGCAACTAAGTTGTAAGTTAAATTCAAAATGCTTCAAAATGCTCTCGTGCTGAAATTACAAGTAATTTCAGCACTTACAAATGAGTGAGTTGTTAGTTTGATGGAGTGTGATTGGTTAGTCTTTAATTTTTTATAGGGATAAAATATCTAATTTATAACCAATAATAATATATAGTTTGGATCTGGTTCCAACATTGTCATAATACTTGTTTATTATCAAACAGGAATTTGTAATATAAAAGTATGTGTTAATATCCTTAGCATTGGCTGTAATTAAAAGCTGGTTATTGATCAAAAGGAACACATTTTGCCGCAACAATATTTGCGTCGCAACAATATTTGTGACTTAGATTGGAAAAAAAAGATAGTTCCTACTATAACACAAGCTTTGCTGGTGGAATAATTGGTTAAGGAAAACAAGAAACAATTTTTAGAACTTACCGTCAAATGGATTCAACGAACTCTGCTTCTTTAATTCCGGATTCGAGGCTACATTATTGAAGGGAAACGTATCATTTGATTTCTTCTGCTTCAAAACACGCTTCAATACTTTTTTCTTCACTATTTTCTTCTTTTTCAAACTCTTTTCTGAAAATTCAGATGACGGAGAAACTGGAAGAGGTGACGAGACTGAAATTTTGGGCAGTGGCGGGGGCGGTCCTGGTCGGGGCTTCTCTGCCGCAACATATTTAGTGTGTATATTACAATTGGCTCCAATATTAAGCAGTGTGGAAACTAAGTTAGCTAAGTTGTTCATACAAGCGATGTGCAGCACAGAGAGACCATTTGAGTCTTGATGATTGATGTTGCATTTCTGCTGAACAAAGTAAATGGCCGCGTTCTCGTACAGATGTTCGGCCAAGTAGTTTAGGAATGGTACCTGAAATAAAAAAATATTTTGCATTTTGTTCCAGCGTATATTCCTCGTTCAGTATTTATGTAAGCACGATTTCTTGTCACACGTTCAAATTTTTCATTTTTTTTTTCGAATTTTGATACCCAAAAAGGCGCAAAAGCAAAAAACGAACAAAAACTAACTTTACTTGAATGAAATTAAAGTTTCACGGCCAAAATTAAGCTACTGTAATCTATTAAAATAAGCCATTGCGAGTATGCTCACTCGCTTTATTCGCTCGAAACTAGACGAAAAGTCAAAAATTTAAATCCGGTTTTTCTTTTGGAAGCTTCCGAATCACGACTGAAAGGACTTTAATACGATATATCACTCAACCCAGTCCGACTATTATTTATGGTTACTGATTTTACTGATAAGCCCGCGAAAAGTTAACTAACGTTATCGTTAGTGATATTGATGTCAATTTTAGCTCCACGTTTCAATAGCGCCGAACTAAATTTCGGCTCCAAATTAGCTTCGAACTCCCTCTCGTCTTGTTTAACAGCCAACCAGAGCGCATTTTCCCTCTCGTGGTTCATAATGTTCACATCAGTAGTTTTGATTCCCAGCAGTCGTTCGAACACTTTGAAATTTCTATTGTGTATGCTACAATGCAGAGCTGACTGACCCAAACTATTTGTAAGGTTGACATTGACTTGTAAGCTTTCATCATCTGCATTTAAAATTCGATCCAGCAGAGACAATGTTTCGTCTGTGGGCTCCTTCACTGACGCAAAAGCATGCAGAGCCGTGTCTAGAGAATCCCTGAAAAAAAATATATTTCCTGGATGTTGAAGACTAAAAATTTAAAACTCGCGTTCTTTCTCCAAAATTTTAGAGTCAATTAGGCTTGAGCTACTTTGTCAAGGTGAATGACAAGGAGAAGCACTTTGGCTGGTAATTGAACGCGTTTGGCGGTAAAAGAACAATTGTTTCACAACTTAATTTACCTCAAATCAGACGAAAATAAGACTAATGTTGTAATAAATAGTGATTCAATATTCCGCTAATAGGTTTCTCCTAATTGGGTGCCTTGCTTCTGCTTTATTTGCCTTACTGTCTATCACAATTGCCTATTAGGTTCACTGTCTGAATCAGACACGTCTCCTTCTCATTCACCCTATGTCAAATTAGTCCGATTGAGCTTATTGGACTGAAATAATATTTTTCCAGGAAAAAAAAAGAAAAAACTAATCAGTTTCGCTGAAAATATACGATCAGTCCTCTACTCAAAGTACTCAAATCCAAGTGGCGTAGAGGTGTTAACTTATTTAATTCAAGGCCAGTAAACACCTGAAAACGTACCGGTAGGCAAGAGTTCTCCCAAATCCCAACACAGGTCTTATTTCGACCAAATTTTATAATGATTGATTCTGATTGGATGAAATAAACATATGGAAGGAAACTTGAAGCTTAATTGCAAAACATTTTTGCGCATTCAGCATTTTGGGCCGCATAAACAGAAAAGACCCCAAATTTTCTACGCCGCAGGCAATGTTTAGAAAAAAAACAGGTCAAACATTGACCAAAAAATTGCCTTTTCTCGGCGCGCCCTCCCCTTCAAAAATAATTTGTATTGTGGCCGAATGCGACTTCAGAAAAAAATTAGGGTCGGTCAGCCGAAAATGGATGTCTTAAACTAGTACCAAAGGAGAGACCATTTGGGTAGTCAGGGGTCAAATCCCTGATGTGGTGCCCACCCCACCCCACTAAATCCACTTGTGTCGGTAGGTCAATGGTCGCTCAAATTTGTCGGTTTGGTTTCGTAGAACTAAATTTATACTTTAATTGCTCAAAAAAGTTATAATCTTATGATTTTATTAACCAAACCTGGCGGGTTGTGCCACATCAATATCTGTCGCATCCAACAGAAATTGTGCAGGGTAGAACTGCTGCAGTATAATGAAATAGTGCAGTAGAGGTCTGCTAGTTGGAGAATTGGTTATCTCTTCATTTTTAAAGACTGGAATGGCGAATTGGACATTGACATCTGCACCGTGTTCCACTAGAAGACTGGCTACACTGGCTTGGTCGGTATTGAGGGCTATGAATAAAGCTACTTCGCCTGAAAATAAAACTTTATAATACTCAGAAAACATTTTAAAAAACAGCATAGTGAATGGAAAAAAACTACAGAAAAAATTACTTAAAAAAATAACTTGCCAAAAGATGAAAAATTACAGCTACAAAAACTTCATATTTTTATCGGATAAAGTTCATAAACAGCCCTTAAAAATGGAAACAGATATATTTTGCTCTTGAAATTACGCAAAATAAGTTGACCAAGCCGATATAAAAAAAACTGAAACTGTTTGAATATCTAAAAAAACGTAAAAAAGAAAAAACTCGGAAAATGAACCGACAGAAACTAGATCAAAAACCACGCACCCGAAAAAAATGAATATTTTTTTGAAAAGATAATTACAACCTGAAACGGGTTTGAACTAATTACTTCTTAAATATCTACTAGAGGAAAATACTACTTCTCTAGAAGATCCTCTAGAAGTGGAGATCCTGTGGACAAAGTTGTTTACGGGAAAAAAAGTCTAGTACCCGATTGCAATACCCTTGCTTATCGCAATAAACTAATACGCATGAAATTCTGCGTCGCAAATAAGCACTCAATCGACCTATGTTTTTCGGATCAACACTTCATCAAAAACGAAAAGGATGTCAAAAAAAATCGAACAGTTCGATTATTTGAAATTCAGCCTCGTCAATCTTTTTTCCCCAATTACCGCCAAGGAACTACTGAAGTAAAATTCAATCTACGAGAGACAACCATAAATGCGAAAAACCATCACCATCATAAAAAAACAATATCGCAATTCTATTATAAAACACGAAGGTTAGAATCATAAATAGCAGTTATCAGTAGTGAATATTTTTAGTATCTAGAAGTTAATTTTGAATTTTCAATAAAATGAGCATGACCATAATCAGCAAAAACGTCACAGATTTTGTCAAACAAGTTGTTAATCCGAAAAAAATATTATATTCTGATTTGATAACGTTTGCTTCTCGCAAGGGGTTCAGGAAATTCGGCGATCAGAAAACAACGGGAATTAAGACGATAATTTGCGTGCAAATTGCGTGAAATTTGATTAGACTTAAATTGATATTTAGGAAGCGTAAACAGACAAATCTAGTTAACCTGTCTCGTCCGGGGCATTGATTGATGTCGGCAGTTGTTCCGTGTACTCTATGAGATATTTGTACACTATGTCCTCCCGCCTCAGTCTGATGGCCGCGTGCAGAGGCGTTTCACTTCTCTGCTTCAAAATGAAGAACAGGGTGTCTGTGTCTGAAATAATTTCAAACATTCGCATCCAATTCAACACGAGAAGAACATCAATGAAGCAACTTCTGTGTCTCGAGAAATTGAAGAATCACACTACTGTGTGTTTAAATAACAACTGATAAAAATAACCGAGCTTCCAACCATATAGCCAAAAAAAGAATGGCCGGGCAATGTACATGCAGCGCAGAATACTTCGACCATAGTCATTTTTAGCAAACGAAATTGATTCTTTCTATTTTTTGTATTTTATAATATTTTCTATTGTGAAGAGAGTCAAGATAGGAGATTTCAAATTTGGATACGCTAAAAAATTATTAATAACTTCCTATTGCAGCCTTTTAGTTACTTAAGTACATGCTATAGAACTCATTCTATTCGGCAACAGGATAAGTGAACACTTTAAATTGCGACTTGGGCTGTAAAAAAAATGGTCTTTGTACTATGAAATTAGGCTTCGCTTGTGTAAATACAAAACGGTATCTCCTTGAAATTCTACTTTTGACGAGCGCTATCTATGAAGACCGTGTTCTTCAACGTACCAAGGGGTTCGAAGTCGGAATGGGAGAAGTTGTGCCAGTGAGAGAACATGACAGCGGAACAGTGCTGCTTTAGTGTATTTGCACTACTCTGAACTGCCACTTGGTACATCTTGATCACGTTCTCAGTGTGAACAAACGGGGCCAGAGACTGTTCTGTCAGCTGTTTCAGTTCACTCAAGTTGCAGTCACTTGAGACTCGCAACATGTCCATCAGAAACGATTCAGATTTACCAGATAGCTCCAGAGTATCTGAAAATTGAAAAAAAAAGTTGAAATATTTTCAAATGATTTACAACTAATACTTTCAAAGCATAATTTTCTCATGAAAAAAAACTTCCTACCAAAAGAAACGTTTAGACTTGACTTTAAATCTGCATGTTAGGCTTTTTAAATTTATATTGTCCATTTCTTTTCTTCAAAACTTTAACTCGTGTCACAGATTTAAGCATTTTTCATTTAAGTTTAAAAACATTAACTATTTAAGAAGGAAGAAACACAAACAGAATTATATGGTTTTTCAAAAACATAGCTAACAGACAGTTGAAAAAGAGTCAATGAACTCAAGAAAACTAGAGACGTACAACATGATTTAAATTTCTATCTTTATGATTGACAAAACAATTCACAAAACTAACCCAATCCGAGGAAGCACGGTAATTGGTGACTTTTTTATTACGCTGGAAAACCTTGAAATTGAAATCCATTTTCGAAACTAAAAGTCAATCACGTTTCATTCAATCATATTTCGTTCATTGACCCTTGAAGAAACGGATTGAAACTTCCTATAGGTTCAATTAATGCACCAACCTGTGTACATCCATTTAAGCATAGCTGAGCCAATCTCTCTGCTAGTTTCACACATGTTTACAATCCTTGGATCTGAATCCGAGTCTTTTTCTGAAGAAGAGTCTCGCTTGCATTTGAAGCCACGTGCTTCAAGCACAAACGTGTGACACGGTACTGGTCTGTCCGATTCATCTCTGAATGTCATAGACACGTCTGAGAACCTCTCATTGAATAGAAGAGTCCCGATGAAGCGAAGGATATTCACAGGGAAATTATCATCCGAGAGGTTAGTTGCAACCGAACCACTGAAACACATAAAATTTAAAAGGAAATTAGAAAAACTCTCGCTTGCACTCACTAAAACTTAGAAAACGACGATGTTTCTTTGTGTTCAATTCCTATCACTTGACTTTTTTTTGCCGTTTCACCACCCACTTGCAAATTTATATTTTTGTAAATTATACTCAGAACGTCAAATTGTCATCAAATTGGCATGCGGACTGATTAGACTACTCCAAACACCTTTGGTTTTCAATCTCAAGTTTTATTGTTTACCAAGTGGTCTTACAACGTTGTGTTCGTCCGGTCGGAGTGGGGGAGGAAAAAGAGCGTACAACTTTAACGCAAGCATCTGGTAATCTAACTTTAAACGGATCGAGATTTCAGAGAATTTAGAATAGTGGGCTGTTACGCAAAGGTCACAGAATGCTCCGACCGCAAATATTCAAATACCAAAATCTTTTAAAAAAAACGGGAAACATAGGAAAAAAAGAGAAAAACAAATCAAATGATTTTTTTCATGTTTTTTCGCTTAAAGATGTGCTTTTTTTTTAATTGAAGGCCGATTGAATTATTAAACAATCTGTTATATAAAAGGTAAAAATAGCTGATTTTAGAAATTTCGCAGATACATAACCTTTCTCTTATAAAGGAGTAACCGGTTTTGCAGGAAAAAATTCCGCAACTGCTTCTTTCTATTTAATTTTTTCTTAGATTTTGATAGGGTAGTTTTTAAGAAAATCCAAGTTTCTAAAACATGGTCAAAGTTCAAAAACTTGACTTTCCAAAACCAGTTCATTTTTTCAGCAAAAAGCAGGTCGTGGCTGGTAAAGTAGAGAAGACTCCCAAAATCGAGTTGCACGATTGAACACATTGAACGCTTAAACTGTCAAAAAAGTTTAAAAAGCGGTCAAAAATCAAAACTTTCCGAGGGCCATAACTTTTTAGGTTAAGTAAATTGGGTGCATTCACGTATTCAAAGGCGCTTGCTACAACCATTTCTTTGGATTGAACCCAGATCTCAGATAGGGGAGGGTATTTTCCGGTAAAATTTATAAAATTAAAATAAAAAACGCTCAAAAAATTGACTTTTCCGAAGAAGATTTTGTCTAAAAATTGTAAGTGGCCGCTAATGGAGGGAATCTTTTGAAGTCCGTTTTATTCATTGAAGTTAAAGATTCAGATTCAGATTTGTTCGGTTAGTTTTTGAACAAACAAATAATCAAAAAATATTGGTCAAAAAATCCCCCCAGAGATTTCGAAGGCGGACCAGCGGAGTATAATGTAAGCGGTTTTTCTATGGATCCCTTTTTTGAAAATCGATAGAAAAATTTTTGAGAAAAAGTTTTTTTTGCAAAAAACGATAAAAAATTTTCAAAGCGTATCAATAAAAAACAAAAAAACCCAATCCCATACACTTTCAAAACACCTGTTTTTATCAAGCAGGAATTCTAGGCAAACATGTCGAGCAAGATAGTTGAAATTCAAATTGGTAAATGAGCAAAACTTACGAAGCGGAAACAAGGCCGACAATCTTTGAGCAGACACCAGTTGAGCCGAAAAAAAACTATTTAATTAAAAATAACTTCAAAATTTCAAGTCCCCATAAAACTACCAAACAGTAACTAGTTATTACGTACTAGTTACCTGTGCCAGGTTTGCCGGAGATTGAGCTTGACAGCACGTGAGTGGAGAGAGTGCACTTGAATGAAGTCTAGTGATTCAAGTGATTTTGTTAAACTAGTTGTTAACCCGAAAAAAAGTCTATATTCCAGTTTGATAACAATTGCTAGTCGCAAGCGTGAAAAGCGAAACTCCGAAGAAGTAAAAAAGCGAAACTTCAAATTTTTTCCATATCTTCCATTGTTTAACTGACAAATCATTCAGTAGGCGACATATTGACTGATCTATGTCATCTATGTTAGGTTTTTCTTTGATGTATTTAACGGACAATTGTATGAATAATTAGTATGCACAGCACTTGATATCTATCTCACCTGGAATTGTTTGAGCACATCATCAGATGGTGTCTTTTCTGCAGTTCGGCGTGTGAGTTCACCAGTTTGTTGTACTCGGCTGTCAGAAGGTCTAATCTCTTTTGTACCTTCTGCAGTTCCATTTCAGCGTTTAATCTCTGCGGCGACACCGCCATAGCCAAATGGGTCTTTTGTCACGAACAGCAGACACAAAGAACCAATACTTGTTCAAATCTAATTCATATTTGATGCTCTTAATCTCGGTTTGAACACATATTCGACATTCAGCTAAACCTGAAATGTAGTTCATAGCCAACTCAAAGTACAACTGAAGCCACCTATTTGTAACAAAGGCTCACTATTAATTGCTTATTACAAACTTAGGCAACAGCATACCATAGCACTGATTTTGCGAGCGCCAGCAACAAATAAAACGTTTATGATTCTACGGGACTCGAATCACATACCTCTCGGACAAAAGTCCAATTAAAAGAACCAATGAGGCATGGAAAATTCTTCATTCGCATCTGAATTAATAGCAAACTAGCGCTTAAGAACCTCCGGTGCTTAAATTGGTTTTAAGAACGTGAAAATTGCTTATATCAACCAAAAAAAAAGATAATTATCTGAAAAATCCCAACATATTTCCTATTTTCAAACGCATCCACGAATATTCTTTCATCAATTATATACACTTTGAAACAGGGGCGGATCTAGGACTTTCTCGAGGGGGGGGGGATGATTTTCAAAAAATTTTCGAAAAAATTTTCAAGTATTTTGTCGATCTTTTTTGGCCAAATTTTCTGCGCCGCATGCAAAAATGTTGAAAAAACAGTCCAAAAAAGGCGTTTTTAGGCACTTTGTGGAAAATGTTGATAAAAAAAATCGCGTTTTTTTGGCGCGCGCTCCCCCACTTCAAATTAATATATATTGGCGCCCAACGCGCCTTTCAAAAAACTTCAGGGTCGGTCGGCCAAAAATGGATTTCTTAAAAAGTACCAAAGGGGGGACCCTTTGGGTCGGCAGGGGGTCGAATCTCTGAGGGGGGAGGAGGCGTCCGCAAACCCCACCCCCCTCTAAATCGGCCCTTCATTTGTAATCAAGATATAAATTTTTGGAAAACTCTTGAAAAAATCATATAGCTATCATCTGGGAAACTATTAAAAAAATTGAGCAGTCATATTTGGAAGCAAAATTTGCATCTTCGGAGAGCACCCTGACAGCAACCCACTATAGGGTTGTGAAAACCCAGTTTTGTGAAAATTTTTGCACAAATCATAAAAACTTCATATCTCGGAAACTGAAGGCATTTGAGCAGACAGATTTGGAGACAAGATTTGCAAGTCCTGAGTGTACCGTGACAGCACACAACTACAAGGTGAGGGAATCCAATTTTTTTTTAAATGTTTTAAATCTAAGTTTTCTGTAATTTTTGAAACATCACAAAAATCGTCGTATCTCGCGAACTAAAAGGATTTTGATATTCGTACTTCGAGGTCGAATTCGCAACTCCTGGACAAACCTGACACGATCCCACAATTGGGTTGCTATTTTTAAAGTTGGCAAAATAAGCTTCGAAATGGGCCTCAGCGTACCATTTGACAAAAGTTATAAAGCGGTAACTAAGCAGACAATATTTGGGTAGACGACCGTTGGGTAGAAACAGCATAAAAAAATGGAACTTGAAGTCATTGAAACCCCTAAGCATGAAAATATATTTTGCCAAACAAGTGACGCAGTAAGTTCAGCAATCGGAAATGACTTACACAAGTTTTTTTGCCCAAAAGCCCTGATGAGAACAGTCCTGCGAACTAAGTTCAGTATAAAAAAAATAGTGCCCAACTGCAATAAACTTGCTCTAGCAAATATATCAACAGAATGAAAAAATGTATCAAGAGAAAAAAGAAGCTCAATCTGCACAATGTGTAATTATGGTATTTTCTTTGATAAGCTCACAAAAGAAGCACAAAATTTTGACTAACTAACAAAATTGATTTTATTTGCCATACCTGACACAGAGACAAACTTGCGGTTCACATAATTTGCAATAATTGAAGAGAAACATTGAAGAGAAACATCAGACAATAATTGAAAAGAAACATCACAAATTTGAAAAAACAAACTAAGAAAAACCCCGAAAATAAAGGAAACAAATTAAGTAAAAATAGATATCAAATTACAGTCTTAATATTTAATGGACATTTAATATTATAACAAAAAAAGTTAAACGTGCAAAATAAGAAAAAAATGACATAGCCAAAAGACATCTAGAAAAATGAAATCAACAAGACTGAAAAAACATTGACCATTTTCAGAAAAGTTTTCAACTACATAAATGCAGTGTTTTTTTCAGTCTTGTTGGTTTCATTTTGGAATAAGCAAACAACATACTTAATGTGAAAAACATCAAACTATTGAAAATGATAAATTTCAAAAACAATTACAAAACAAGTCAAAATTTTAAAATGTATTCTCCTTGTTTGAACAAAACTTGCACAAAAAAACTCGTACCAAACAAAGAAGGAAAAACCAGGAAGAGACACTGGCAAGGACTCAAAAACCATTTTTTTAAAAATCTGAAGCCAAAAACAGACAAAATGTAAATGCGTGTCATTGAAACGTTTTAAAATAGAACTTGAAGTCATTGAAATAGAGTCCGGCAACGTACAATATAATCTGGACATTAAAAAAAATTAAATAAGAAATTCTTTAAAAAAAAATGGCATCAAAAAACTAAAAAATCATTTCGTTTACGTTTTAATACATTGAAACTACGTAATACTTAGGAAATTTAACATGTATATCCGGAAGATCAGCAGACAGCAATTCAATTTGACACAGTAAAACAACAAACTCGTATCGCAATTTTGGAGTTGATTTAATTATGATTGGATAGGATTTTAGGCTTGCTTGGAATTCGTTTTTCAATTGAAATGTATATCTTTAAGAAACATGGGGTACAATCGAACGAGATAGAAAATTTAAAATACATGTCAAAAAACAAAAAATAATGTGCAAAAACTTATGAGCCATTATCTGCAACAAAAAGAAGGCATTAAATATAGCCAATCGAAAACGAAAAAATACATAGCAGGCAGATCCAAAAAAGGTATAAACCAGGAAAAGACACCGATTTTGAAAAGTTCTAAAGTCAAAAACAAACCAAAAAAGAAAGTTAAACAAAAAGTCAATACAGAAGTCCAACACAGAATACGATCCCCAACACAGCGAAATTCAGCCAACACAGGGAAACTGACGCGAAGGCTGATAAAATTTAATTTTACTAGTACGGAAAATCACCAGACCGAGCTTTTGTGTTTGCAAACTTGCCTGATTTTGATTTGCTTTAAAAGTTTGATGTTTCTCATTGTGATTAAACATTTTCCGTAGTACCACATGTTTTCTACCATGCTTCCACAAGGACAACAAGGAAAGTATTTAGATGATGATACCAATTTCTTCTTAATGTGAAAAACTCATTTGCCTCGCATTTCCGCCAATAGAAAACTGGAAAATCTGCAAAAAAATTTTCGGGCCGTTTCATCAAATATGCGATTACTTCAAGGACACATACGTTGGTCCAGTGCAAGGTGCTAGAAGAGTGGAGCCAACATTTGCCATGACCGATTGGAATGTTGATACAGGGGTTTTTCAAGAATCTCTCGTTTCGAAATTGATCTCCCGGTTCAAAGAAAAACAGAACAGATCAGAAAAAATGACGACTCATGGTCCGAAGAGAAATTAGGAGAGCAAGAACAAAGAACGTGAACGCCAAGTAATGAAATAATGCAATCAAATAACACGGCAACAAAATTCGAAAGTATTTAAGAACTTGTACAAGCAACCTCTGCTGATTTTAAAAAGCATGATTTTTGATCTCCCTTTTAACCTTTTTAAACTTTGTTCTTTTTCCTCTAATCTTTTTTGACTGAAAAACCGTCAGCTGAAATTGCGTGACACCATATTCATTATCTACCACATTAAAATGCACGCTCCAGATTGATAACCATAGCACTGTATTTTGTAGAATTATTTTGGAAAAAGTGATTTGTATAATTACACAAGCTTTGTGTACGTAAACCGATAATCTGCAAGTATTGGTAGTAACCTGATTTCACCGCACCAATGCGTCGACAGTTTTACCACAGAGGCTAAGTTTCGCTTCGCAAACACTAGCGAGAATACGACAAAAAGAAGCTCTATAAAGTGCAATAATAAAAATTAGAAATAAGCCTCGTATTAGTAAAAAATCGGCTACCTCTGAGATTCGAACCTGCGAATTAGAGATTAACAGTCTCACACACAAACCACTCAGCCACGGAATTTTCATACTGACCAAACACTAGCCACAAACAAAGCAGAGAGCAAATGCTATGCAATTTCCAATGCTACCGTGAAATTTCCAAATAAGTGAACATTTTTAATGAACACTTTTTTTGCGAGTTAGGTTAGATTTAAAAAAAGAAGGTTCGTAACAATACACTAGGCTGATCGCAAGTGTAAATAATGGATCAACAGCTGGGAAACCGAAAAATTAAAATCCACTTTCGAAGCTAGAAGTCGCTCGTTTTTCGTTATCTTTAGACTTTTGCTGTTTGATAGTGGAGTTTGCTTTCCTTTTAACAAAAGCAATGAACTGAACTTGAACATAAAATAAAAGCAAAACCGCAAAAAAGCCAACTTAAGTCTGAACAAATTTAAAAAGTTTTCCTGAAAGAAAAACAAAAAAAGCATCGCGACCTATATAAGAGTCTGAACTACGTTCGTCGACTTTTATAATAATGCGACTCCAGGATAACAATCCACGGCCTCTTGTGGTCTATCATTGGGGTGTTTCTGCCAATTTGTTTACTCAGATTCGCATTTTTAGATTTACCGCAAATGTGCTTTCAATACTAACCAAGGAGTATAAATTTACTAGGTTGAAGAGCAAGCAATGCGTTGAATCCACGTTCTGCATGACCTAACTTCTCAACACCACAGATTTTAATCTATTTGAATTTACATCAACATCACATCACATCCAGTGAGTTTAAATGGCGTTTGGGTTATAAATATATTTCACATTTATAAACCCAAAACAACCCATGCCAACACTATACAAACTGACAAAGGCTACAGTTTTGACCCAATTATTACAGCCAAAAACAGTTCCAAAAGCGGGCAGTCCAGCAACGTTACAAAAAGCGTGCACTGCCCAAACGAGGTAGAAATTTTGATAAGTGATGAAGAGAAAGGAACTGTACGCTCCGAACAAAGTAGTGTAGACAGTCTGAATAGTCACTTTTAT